TACTCCCTTTAATATTCATACCACCCTCATGATACAGGTACTTGAAATGAGAAGCCAGTCCTCCCTTAATATTCATACCACCCTCATGATACAGGTACTTGAAATGAGAAGCCAGTGCTCCCTTTAATATTCATACCACCCTCATGATACAGGTACTTGAAATGAGAAGCCAGTACCCCCTTTAATATTCATACCACCCTCATGATACAGGTACTTGAAATGAGAAGCCAGTACTCCCTTTAATATTCATACCACCCTCATGATACAGGTACTTGAAATGAGAAGCCAATACTACCTTTAATATTCATACCACCCTCATGATACAGGTACCTGAAATGAGAAGCCAGTACTCCCTTTAATATTCATACCACCCTCATGATACAGGTACTTGAAATGAGAAGCCATTACTCCCTTTAATATTCATACCACCCTCATGATACATGTACTTGAAATGAGAAGCCAGTACTCCCTTTAATATTCATACCACCCTCATGATACAGGTACTTGAAATGAGAAGCCAGTACTCCCTTTAATATTCATACCACCCTCATGATACATGTACTTGAAATGAGAAGCCAGTACTCCCTTTAATATTCATACCACCCTCATGATTAGCTGGAGTAACTCAACCAACAAACGATGAAAACTTGCCACTCTACTCTCTAAGCCAAATAGGCCAACGTTAGGCCTGTTTTTACAATGATGAATGAACTCAAATATCGGACACAGGCCTAAAAAAGGTTCTTGTTTAAATGATACGAAAGTATTAATTCACAACTTCAGTAATTACTAGCTCCACAGATTAAAAGTATCGGATTTCTGGTTCATTCCAGCTAGAATGTGTCTTGCTAATTTACTCATTGTGTTCTGCTACCCTGCTCGATTATCTGACACTAAAACTTCTCAGGTTCACTACAAATTCACAACTTCAGTAATTACTAGCTCCACAGATTCTCTACATTATATTTCCCTGTTAACCACGTCAGCACCCAGTGACCTAGTTTTATTTCTGAATTATAACTTTCCGCGATGTTGCTTTTATTCGTTCTCGCGATCTTCCTTGTGTTCCCTGTTACTGAAGCAGTGGACGGAAAGTACACTGCCCTGCAGTTTGGGACCACTACAAGTGACTACATAAGCTTTAATCACGACATGACCCCGTTCCGTACATCATTGACCCTCTGCTCCTGGGTTAAGCGAGTATACACCTCATCCTCCTACCCGACGGTGTTCCACTACTGGGCGAGCTCGAATACTTATGAGATACTGATTACATCTAACGGGATATACAACAGAGTAGCAGGTGATAGTGTTTTGGACTACTTACCGAGTAAATTCACTACCCCGGCTGGACAATGGTTCCACTATTGTCTGACTTGGTCCTCCTCCTCACGGACTATGCAGCTCTACCTGGACGGGGAACTAGCAGCTAGTGACCAGACTTCAGGAAGACAACTCTACACCAGCGGGACTGTGTGGTTTAATAGATTCGGTAACAGTGTTAGTAATGGTTTTGTTTTTGGAGGCCAATTATACAGATTTAATATGTATACAGAGGTGCTGAGCTCGGAGACAATAAAAAGAATAGCAGACGGAGGTTTGTGTGCCGAAGCAGAGGAGACTATCAGCAGCAGACAACTACGCTGGGAGGACGTGCTGGCAAAGTCAAGATCTGGGTCTGTGGTTGAGGTCACCGAGTGTGATGTGATACCTACGAAGCAACTAAAAGCAATGAGGGAACAATTAGCTGCAGTCACTAGTAAACTCAACGCTACTGAAGGCGATCTAGAAACAGTGACCGGTAAATTTAATAGCACAAAGGATGAGTTACAAAATGTAACAGACCGACTTAATCGGACAGAAGATGAGCTTGGGTCTTGTCTGTCTATTCTTAACGATCTTATCTTAGTACCAGTACTAGCTTGTACCACAGGGATCCTTATGGTAGTCTCTATTGCTCTGGGGTTGCTGTTCTGCTGTGAGAGAAGGAAGGGAAAGAAAGAAGATAAGGGACTTGGGAAGGTTGCCTATAATGCTTCAAGTGGAGTGCATCTGGGTGAAGAGGAGGGGAGTTCTCCTAGTGCAGATGACACATCTGACAACATTTACGAGAACTATGAAACTTAACGGTAAATATTTTTTGATAATTTGGCAATACTTTAAACACATTTCATATGCCACGCAGCCACGCTATCTGTATCACTATCTTTTTGAAATAGGTCTTTGACACTCCATTAACTATTACACGGTACACCAATAACCAACTTTATTCTACAACCTCAGGTGAACCTTACAAAGCGAGAAGTACAGCAGTGACGTTTCTCCCGCTTAATAGCATCCTCTTATTCACCTTGGAACTGTTAAGGACCGCAAAAACTTAAGAAATTTGTGAAAAGTTATTTCGTTTTAAAGTTTGAACTCACCGATCTTTATATGATCAAGCTGCCGACAAGTTTGTCTGACAGAATGATTAAACTTATTAATTGGAGTGTATTTTTGGTAAATTATTGAACCTATTTAAAGACGACATGCTGTGAAGTACATGGTATTACTTTACTTCTTTGACTTTCAATTTACCTCGAAGTTTAACTGCTGGTCTTTTTTCATTCAATAGTTTAAAATTGGGATTATTTCATTATCAACGCATTTATTAATAAAACAAATATTTAATAAAACAAATATTTATTTTTACGGCACAATCAAACAATATCAATAATAAATAAATCAGGGGAGGTTTGAAGAGGTTTCAAGTGCCGAAGGCCACTGCTTATCTTTAGGATTTGAGAGTGACCTGTGCTTGAAACCCCCTCAACCATCCACTACGTCAATAAACTTATTATACAAATATAGAAAAATATAGAAAAATATAGTTATCTAAGCTAAAATTGCTTATTGGTCTAGTTTGGTGACATAGGAGAGCCCAGTTGAGTTTTAGTTTTGGTTTATGTTTTAAATCATAGTTTGAAAGGTTAGCCATGTTTCATGGCAGAGAGAGATATCATGTGTGCATGAGAGCCGTACCGGATGTAGAATTTGAGATATAATATAGATTAGTTACCATATATTAGGGTCACCTCGATTTTGGAGGGATAGCAAGTGCTTTTTAAGGTTAGATTTAATAATACCTGACGAGGCTGATAAGTCTGAATTTTTGGAAGAACCCGGGATTAGTATCCCATCTTCATTAGCATCACATATTTCGAATACATAGGGGATGAGATCATTCCAAATTTTCGTAGAGGTGTACAAAAAGTTCTGTTGGGAGATATCTAACCTCAGTAATGGGACAATCAGACGAAGTTTTTCATTTCTAGGACAGAACTTGAAAAGATCTTTAATCGACTGGGGGACATCAAATTTAAGAATTTTGAATAGTTCCATAAATGTATGGTACATGTGCAGATTCTCCAGGTTGATAATTTTCTGCTCAGTGAATAGCGGTTTAGTGTGTTCAAGACAGTAGTTCTTGCTAGCCATATGTTCGTTATAAGTTCTTGAACGTGCACAGGTTAAGTAGTATTCTTTATGATCAAAATTAGGAATGTTACCAAATAGCAGTCTTATACATCGTTTTTGAATTGCAAAGATTTTATTCAGCTTATGTTTAGGGATCCCACCCCAGCAACTTATACAATAGCTAAGATGTGACATAAAAAGAGCATTGTATAGTTTCAAATATGTAGATTTGGGAATGAATTTGCAAATTCTCTTAATCGATACAATACTGGAGTTCAGCTTTAAAGATAAATGATTAAGATGTGGTTCCCAACATAGCTGTTCGTCTATTATCACCCCAAGAAACTTTGTACATTGAACTTTTTCTAGCTTTTTGCCATCTATTGAAATCGTTAGATTCCTGTTAAAGGGCCGTACGTCTGTGAGTTAAATACAGAGGAATACCTTAGAATCTTATAATCGGAGCTTTATGAACGGATATTAATAATGTTAAATGATATTAACATTATTTCCAAGATCAAGCTTAGAACTTAAAAGCTTTTACGTTTGGAGCTATAATTATACATAATTTACATGCCTTTCTGTGTAACTTCAATTTTATTTCAGGTGTATCTCAGCTCATGGTTTTCGTAGGCTAATAATTATTTTTCAACCGGTCATAAAACGTCTCCTCTCCATTGGTTATAGGTTCGCTAGTAGTAGTATTGTAAATTGTTAATATATTCCTAATTAGTAATTTAGTCGGCCCGTACGCTCATTTTACATGTATTTCTATATGCACGGATCAGAGCAGGATACTTAAGACTAAGTGACCTCACAGGTTCAAATTGTTTTGGCTGGATATCTCGGCGCGCGAATGAAATACAACTGTACGGACTACGGATTTAACAAAAGTGGTTTATAGGATTAATGTATTAGAAGGATTTGCACGAGAGAAAAAACTTTCACAAGCTCTCCTCATCGCATTAAAGCTCCGATTATGAGATTCTAAGAATTCCTCTGTATTTAACTCAACAGTCCAAACGCTCCTATTATGGACTGATATCTCCTCTACCGGACTAAACACCTCCCCCGTGGACGGTGGAGGCTTCCAAGCTACTGCAGAATTAACAGCTCTCTTCAAAAAGTGTCACTCCAGATGAATAAAAATTATTGCCTTTATTTGAACAAAGTTTCGGTGTCTAAGTATTTCATAACCTTCAGTGCATAATTAATACAACAGTTCGCTTAAATTGTTAAAACTTAACAGGGAAGGACTTTTTATATTTGGGCTAGGAAACTTGATTGAATTTGTGCAAATTATGGTGTGTTAATCGCTCGCATCTGAATTTTGATGAATCCTGACATTTAATATCAAAATATGTATTATAAATTATCAGATTTTTTGCCAGCTGCACTGTGTCCTGCTACCCTGCTCGATTATCTGACGCTAAAACTTCTCAGGTTCACTTACAAATTCACAACTTCAGTAATTACTAGCTCCACAGATTCTCTACATTATGTTTCCCTGTTGACCACGTCAGCACCCAGTGACCTAGTTTTATTTCTGAAATATAACTTTCCGCGATGTTGCTTTTATTCGTTCTCACTATCTTCCTTGTGTTCCCTGTTACTGAAACAGTGGACGGAAAGTACACTGCTTTGCAGTTTGGGACTACTTTTAGTGACTACATAAGCTTTAATCACGACATGAGCCCGTTTCATACATCATTGACCCTCTGCTCTTGGGTTAAGCGAGTATCCACCTCATCCTCCTTTCCGACGGTGTTCCACTACCAGACGAGCTCCAGTACTTATGAGATACTGATTACATCTTACGGGGAATACAACAGAATACTATATGATAGGGTTTTGGACAACTTACAGAGTAAATTCACTACCCCGGCCGGACAATGGTTCCACTATTGTCTGACTTGGTCCTCCTCCTCACGGACTACGCAGCTCTACCTGGACGGGGAACTAGCAGCTAGTGGCCAGACTTCATCAGGAAGAGAACTGTACACCAGCGGGACTGTGTGGTTTGATAGATTCGGTAACCAGGATAGTAATGGTGTTGTTTTTAGAGGCCAATTATACAGATTTAATATGTATACAGAGGTGCTGAGCTCGGAGACAATAAAAAGAATAGCAGACGGTGGTTTGTGTGCTGAAGTAGAGACTATCAGCAGCAGACAACTACGCTGGGAGGACGTACTGGCAAAGTCAAGATCTGGGTCTGTGGTTGAGGTCACCGGGTGTGATATAACGGAATATCGGGAATTCATGGAGAGTCGATTAAATGAAAAGGAGGTGCAACTAAAGGCAATGAGGGTAGAATTGGCTGCAGTCACTAGTAAACTCAACACGACTGAAGGCGATCTAGTAACAGTGACCGGTAAATTTAATAGCACAAAGGATGAGTTACAAAATGTAACAGGCCGACTTAATCGGACAGAAGACGATCTAGAAACAATGACCAGGCAATTAAACAGCACAAAAGATGAGTTACAAAATGTAACAGGCCGACTTAATCGGACAGAAGATGATCTAGAAACAATGACCAGGCAATTAAACAGCACAAAAGATGAGTTACAAAATGTAACAGGCCGACTTAATCGGACAGAAGATGAGCTTGGCCTATTGTCTGTCTATTCTAAACGATCTTATCTTAGTACCAGTACTAGCTTGTACAACAGGGATCCTAATGGTAGTCTCCATTGCTCTGAGCTTGCTGTTCTGCTGTGAGAGAAGGAAGGGAAAGAAAGAAGATAAGGGACTTGGGAAGGTTGCCTATAATGCTTCAAGTGGAGTGCATCTGGGTGAGGAGGAGGGGAGTTCTCCTAGTGTAGATGACACATCTGACAACATCAAACATTTACGAGAACTATGAAACTTAACGGTAAATAATTTTTGATAATTTGGCAATACTTCAAGCACATTTCATATGCCACGCAGCCACGCTATCTGTATCACTATCGTTTTGAAATTGGTCTTTGACACTCCATTAACTATTACACGGTACACCAATAACGAACTTCATTCTACAACCTCAGGCGAACCTTACAAATCGAGAAGTACAGCAGTGACGTTTCTCCCGCTTGATAGCATCCTCTTCTTGCAGGATTATTCACCTTGGAACTGTCAAGGACCAGAAAAACTTAAGAAATTTGTGAAAAGTTATTTCGTTTTAAAGTTTGAACTCACCGATCTTTATATGATTAAGCTTCGGTCAAGTTTGTCTGACAGAATGATTAAACTTATTAGTTTGAGTGTATTTTTGGTAAATTATTGAATCTGTTTAAAGACGACATGCTGTGAGGAGGAGGAGGAGGAGGAGGAGGAGGAGGAGGAGGAGGAGGAGGAGGAGGAGGAGGAGGAGGAGGAGGAGGAGGAGGAGGAGGAGGAGGAGGAGGAGGAGGAGGAGGAGGAGGAGGAGGAGGAGGAGGAGGAGGAGGAGGAGGAGGAGGAGGAGGAGGAGGAGGAGGAGGAGGAGGAGGAGGAGGAGGAGGAGGAGGAGAAGGGGGATGAGGAGGAGAAGGGGGATAGGAGGAAGCATCTAAATGTTATTTCCATAACATTTTTTGTCCAATTTTGTCCGCCCTACTTTTTATCCGTTTTGAAAATATAGGGTACCGAACGGACAAAAAGGGACACAAAACATGAACATGAACTCCCCCCCCCCCCCCCCCCAAACAAAAATCAATTTGGAAGCCGAAGCAAACGGTATAAAAATGGAACTACTTGGACGATTACATTTACATCTGCTAAATAGTGTGTTTATACAATACTGAGAGGACAGTCCCTTTGAGGATAGGAACGTTCTACGTAACGCATCACTTAAACTTTCTTAATTTAGCTGTAGCGTGGCGTAGGAAGTAAATAGGGATTCCAAACTTTCACAGAGCAATTACATATGACATAGCGCAATACAAGCATGTCTTAGATACATAGTACAAGGTAGCATAACGTCATCCTTTATAAAACAATTGTTTTCCTAAAAGCTTCCACTTTGACAAAGCTGTGAGAAGCCTCATTGAGTGCGCGGCGTGGCACAGTAACGCATCGCGCTACAAATCACCACAAAAGGGGTACTTTGGATAAAAACGCGATCTTCACCCTCAGAATCGACTTTTAAAATTTTATGCTTTTCTCTGTCAAAATAAGCCTTATAATTATATCGAAATACCCCCCCCCCCCCCCTTTCTACCCCCGCCCCCTTTCGTGTGCTCTCTTCTTCTGTCAACGGGTGATACTCTTAAAATATTTGTTCCAATTATTAGGGACGGTCGAGTGTCGACGAGTCCAACTCAGCGCGCGTCCTGGTAGGTTATATAAACCTACAATTCTTCTTCAGCTTTCTTGAACTCTCGCATCTCGGCTGTCTCATACCCAGCAGACCTTACTGGTTGGCGATATTACTACAGGTAATTGCGTCTTCACAGCTTGTTGAGCTCCGCGCGCGCTCGCGTCGTAAGTATATTACTATATTGCATTTGCACGCCGCGCTTCAAACATTCCAAAAATGCAATCGCACCACGTACCACGTGATACGATTCAGCCAACCAGAGAACAAGAATCCGCGAAGTTATAAAGGCTGCGCAGCGCACTTTTATATGGCCCAAAATATGAAATAAAACTTTTTGCAATAATTCTTGTAGCGCGATGCGTTACTGTGCCGCGCCGCGCACCCAATAAGGTTTTTCACAGCGACAGATCTGGCTAGATCGGCGAAATGCGTTACTGTGCCGCGCCGAGCTGCCATGAATTGACATCGTCAATTAACGATAATTCGCGATTCAAAATCTACGTTGTTTTAAATTTTCCTCCTGCGGAAGAAAACGTTATTTTTACAAGGCGAAAATTTTTTTGAAAAACAAACGTTTCAGTAATAGTAGAGGCTCTTACGGGCAAATAAGGCACTCTTCTGCTGGAGCCCCTAGGCTCCTGGGATGATTGTTTTATGGACTAGTAATTAGTGCCGCATCGATAGCCGATCTCAGATGCCACTATGGAGGCTGTATGGCCATGTGCTGACGGTTATTTGCTTTTTCCCGCGCACCTTGCTAAATCACAAAGTAAACGCTCGAATTTGATTTCAAAATATTCACACAACTTCTAGATACCTACTTGACAATATTACGTAGCCAGATTTACCTCTGTTGCTTATCTCTTGGTGTTATGACCATTCAAAGTTTCAGATTATCACGTGACACATTATGTCACAGTAAATGCGCGCAAGAAAAACTTTCTCACATATTTTTGATTCGGCGCAAGCGCGCTCCGCACAATTACTACAAAAAGGACCAGGAATTTTCCGACGAGTTACACTACGTCATTTAATAGACATTTATTATTATGTGTGATACGAATGGTAACGAAACTTGTATCATAAGAAACAATGATTTAAAAAACAAGCTGCTATGATAAATGTTGCTATAAATCAGTAAGAACTACCTCGATGTAAACATATTAGGGGTCGTTCACATAATACGGAATCACCGAGAGGGGGGGGGGGGCCGGGGGGTTAAATTAAACGTTGTTCAGGACGTGATTACGTAATATGTCAACGATCCTGTAAGAACATTACATTGGCTGTTACATTCCATACATTGAGTTTTACGGGGCTAAATTTGAACTTTAACAAGTTCTCTGTTTTAGTGTTCTGCTCTGGTGTTAGTTGGCATAACAAATACACCATTCGCACCTTTAAATGTGACTGATCAGTGACGGGGAAGATGTAATTGTAAAATAGCATTTAGTCCGCTGCATTTCCCTAGCACCCAATTTGGATCTTATGTCATGGTCAGTAAAATGAATTCCAACGAATCTTTAAACTAATACCCACCAGGTTCTGAAAATAGCACTTTCAACTGCTTTTAAAAATAAGCTATTTCTAATTTTCGATCTGACTGTAACTTCGTCGATTAGGCGAGGTTTTACAAAATAAAAAACTTTCATATGCCCCGTTTTAAACATCAAACTGTATTTTAATGTAATCAACGCCACAATGTAATAAAAACTATTTGTTTGATCAAAACTAAAAATGTCATAGCTGAAATCGATGGATCAGTTTGATAAAAGTTGAAACTAGTATAACGTGCTTCAAACCCCGGGTTGACACTTGGCCGTAAATCTCTGTTTGACATTTAGAGTTCTAAAGCTTACACACAAGAATTCTAGCAAACGTAATGTATTAAGAGAATACAACGTTAAAGAATTAAATTACAAAGAATACAAGGTTTCCAGGGACTTCGAAGAAATCTATACCAGTAACATCTGTCAAACTCGTCGACGGTCCATTTGACATTTGAAACAAATATTTTACGAGTATTACCCGTTAAAAAATTTAATATTAATGAAGGATGTTAGGTTTGGCCTTGAGGCAATCTAGGTAAACCATAGGTAAAAATATAATATTAATCATAAGCTAAAATGTACTAATCTTTGTATTCTAAATGGGGAAAAAGAAGGGGGGGGGGGGGGGGGGGGGGGGTCCAACCCGATGTCCGATATGAGGGTTGATGAGGCCAAAATCGGAATCGGAAAAATCGGAAAATTGAGAAATTTTAGAGAATCGATCTCTAAAACCTCTCAGAAGTGATATAATTCAACCAGAACCCCTACATATGCTATATTGTTATGAGAAAACGAACTAATTGGACATTCCAATAGTATGTTTTATGTGTTTTTCCACTGCAGGGGCTAGTATGCTCACTACTAGTTGGAGTTGTCATGTACTCCCAGACCCGAGTGCTTTGGCCTCTTGACGTGAGATCGATTGTTTCTGCTCATTAATTTTATCCCTGTTACTTGTTATTATGTATTAGTACAACACTAGGTACCGGGTTATATTTTGTGGTCCGGTCTTTAAACAAACCATAATATCACTAGTACACTGCACCTTAAATGTATAGTCAAGTACATTTGTATCGTAACACATGCTTGGCTGGGGGATCATGTTTTGTGTCCGTTCGGTACCCTGTATTTTCAAAACGGACAAAAAGTAGGGCGGACAAAAACGGACAAAAACAGACAAAACATTTAGATGTCCTCCTCCTCCTCCTCCTAAGTCTTCCTCCTCCTGAGTCCTTCTCCTCCTCAGTCCTCTTCAGTCCTCTTCCTGACTCCTCGTCCTCGTCCTTCTCCTCAGTCCTCCTCACCTTCCTCCTCAATCCCCTTCTCCTCCTCAGTCCTACTCCCAGTCCTCCTCCTTCTCCTTCTTCTTCTCCTCCTCATCCTCATTTCTCCTCCTGATCCTCCTTCTCCTCCCCATCAGTCCTCCTCAGTCCTCCTCATAGTCGTCCTCCTCCTCCTGAGTCCTTCTCATCCTCCTCCACCTCCTGAGTCCACCTCCTGAGTCCTCCTCCTGAGTCCTCATCCTCCTCCTGAGTCATCATCCTCTTCCTCCTGAGTCCTCCCCCAGTCCTCCCCCAGTCCTCTTCCTCCTTCTCCTCCTCATCCTCCTCCTCATCAGTCCTCATCCTCTGTCCTCCTCATAATCGTCCTCGTCCTCGTCCTCGTCCTCGTCCTCGTCCTTAGTCCTCCTCCTCCTTATCCTCCTCCTCAGTCCTCCCCCAGTCCTCATCCTCCTCCTTCTCCTCCTCCTCCTTCTCCTTTTTCTTCTCCTCCTA